AGGACCATTAATTTTCTAATTCTTATTCGCTACGGACTCCCTCTTTTCAATTTGAATTTTGAATTCAAAATCTTGATTGCACGTATTTAATGTGCATAATTATAATAAAATTAGATTTACTGTTCCACAAATAAATTCAAAAATTCGAAACGGCATCCAGTCTAGTTCTAAATTTGTTTTTAGTGTATTATGCGTAAATAAAAAAAGAATCGTGATTCTTTACTCAGTGGCTGTTCTGTAACTCTTTTTGAAAATATTCTTTGAAGAATTTTTTGAGGTTTAATAAATATTCATTTATAGTTTTACCCACATCTGAGGTTACTTATAACGCATTTTCTTTGAGAATTTAGAAGAGGAATTCTTTGCTTAATGTTTTAAAACATTCATAACTTTTTTGATCAGCACATGCAGTCCAGAAGTCAAATTTGTTTTTTATAATAGTTAGACAAAATATTTTGTCTCCTATTGTAAGCGTAGTCATGATTCTTCACTGTAAAGACCTGAGTAGTATAGCAGGCGGGTTGCTATATCTGGGTCACGGCTCTCCATAAATGAGACATGGTCTATTCATCAACATCTTACCAATTTTGGATCTTTAGAAGGTCTTTCTAGGTCATTCTTCATCTGAAGAGGTTAGACCATGCCCCTTTTGTCAACAATACCAGAACCTTTTGTTGAAGACCCTCTGGAATTGTCGTAAAATGGGGGTGGAGCCTGTATTTGTTTGAATTTCCCGCTTAAAGCTATTGTTCATTGAATTGGAGGTATAAATAGTTAAACATATATTATAAATATAGGTGAATTTGTAATATCTTTGCTTTACGATTTATTCCATTTTTAAGGTAACTCACATGCCGTATAAATATCCCACAGTTTAATTGTAAATGCCAATTTTTAAACATTTTATTCAGTAAATTGTTCTCTATTTAATCAACGACAAAGTGTATTATTATTATTTTGTATATATTTTATTAAGAAAAACCGCTGTATCTTGCGGAATCCCTGCGACTCTTCCAAGGAACACCAGAGTTTCGCGGAACATCATTTGGGAACCGTTGCTGTTGACTGTAAAGACACGTAGATTACCAAAAGCTGTTTCTTACATTCTTTAAAAGTTGTGCGATTGTCTCCATAGTACCGATCGAACAGTTTCCATTAAAAGTTAAAAGCTAAATAAAACAGCGACTAAAACGTGTCAACTGTTTTTTCTAGCGCCTGATGGTGATGCATTATTAAACAAATAAAGGACTGCTGATGTGTGTGGTTCAAATCCGTTACGTTGAATCTTGTGCTATAAAAATAAACTTGTAAATGAACATTAAAAACTACTGTTGTGTAGAATCGAAGCCAAATAGGGTAAATAATTTCCTTTTATTGTAAAAACGACAATCGATGCAATGTTTCGCCGTAGTTGTAAGGTTTTTTCAAGGTGAAGTTTTAAAATTAATACATTAAGTTATTCAGATGGTGTGATCTGTAATTCAGGTACATACTATCAAACAAAATACTAATTTCACCTCAATGTATAAATGTAGTAAAATAAATTATTTTACATAATAAAAATTTTATAACAAAAGAATTAAACCGCCGGAAAAACTGAAAAACATAAAAAAAGCCTTTATTTTATTGACTTTGATAACTAAGTTCTTTAAGTAATGTAAGTATACCTAAGTAATTTTGAGTTGGTGCTAAACAATAAATAAACAAATCTCACTTAAATTTAAAGAAATAACCATTGCATTAGTAATTTGATTTTGGTTATTTCTTTAAATTTAAGGTAACTTAATGATCTTTGTTAATTGATTGTTTAGCGCCGACTCAAAATTATTTAGGTATACTTGCATTAGTTGAAAAACTTAGTTATTAAGATTAATAAAATAAAGGTTTATTCCTTACTTTTTAGTTTTTTCGGCAGTTTAACTTTTTTGTTAAAAAGTTTTTATTTTATAATTATTACTATTATTTTCCTACTATAAATCATCCCCTGTTTTCCTATCCTTACGGTTGGAGTTTTTTCCAAATTTATATGGGACCAACTTTGAGGTATACCCTTTCCAATAAAAAAAGAATTATCAAAATCGGACTACTCTATAGAAAGTTATGCGTGGTCATACATAAAAAAATTATACGCGTCGACTTGAGAACCTCCTCCTTTTTTTCGTCGGTTAATTAAAAACAAACTTTCTGAACAACGGAATGTAAATAAAAAACTTTACTTTGACTCTATTGTATGGAAAAAAGAGGAAAGAAAATGGAAACTTGACTACTACTGTTGTTTACACACATTCTCATATTTGTGCACTAAATAGACCAGGAACATTGAAATTTTCTACTAAGCGAAGTTCAAATATGACATTTATAATTTTTAAATCCGACGCTGATGCTCATTTACGCTTATCCATGTTGAAGATTAAAGACCCGAACAGAACTGGATCGAGCCGACCTAAGCAGAGAAAAGACCGATATACTAAATTGCATTGGTTCGTTCGAAATCGTGCTTATCGATTTATCAGCTCCTAAAACTAAACATGCTAAACAAAAACAGAGGGAGAACAAATTTTATCAGATTTCCGGTCCAATTTAAAACAATTAGCCTTTGACAATTGTAGAAAATATTACAAAAGTAACTACATTGAATGTACATTTAACGGGCTTTTAAACAAACAACAGAGTAATTTTAAGCATAAATTCAATTAAACAGAAATAATCGCATGAGTTGACATTAAAAGAATCAGTGAATTTTGACTCGATTGACTCACAGTCAGTTACATTTATCCTAAACATTAGTAAAATTCATTAATATATTATATTAATCACTCGACATTTGTTTCGACTAACAAGTCGTTTTCAAGAGAACATTGACAGTATTGTGATTAATAAAATATATTGTTGGAACATCTACTGTTTTGATTCTCAAACATGTTTCATCGCAACATCATCCTAGTTAGCTTTAAGATCGTGCGATTGTAAATTCGGCCGATTTAATGGGTTTTTGTTGAGCTTAAACTGTTAGCTCAACGCCCAATAAGGAAAGAACATGTCTTGTAAGTGTATTAACATAAGAATGCTTTTGTTTGATTGCTTAGGATCATAAGGAAGGAATAACACAATCGAAGTGATTGATGTTACAACTTATTACCTACATAATGTGTTGGAAGCTTCCTTTTGCTAAATTAAAATCATTATTTTGGTAACTCTAGGGGTGCTATGTAAGTATAAAATTAATTCGACAATGAAAGATAATGCCAAAATTTCCCAACCAATATCCAAGATACAGTGTTAAAGAAAAATATATAAATATATAATTTTCCCTTTTCCGCCGCGCCCACCGTCCTTCAAGGATACATTTACAATAATCTTTTTCCAATTTCTAAATTAACCGTTCGCGAGCATATAAGTGACTTCTTTTTATTAAAGACGATTCGACCGTGCACTATCCTCTGCTTTATATCCCTACATCCCTACTACTCCTTCCGTCCTTACTTATCTGACTTCGTAGATACCTAAATTAGCCACTTCTTCTAATTTTTCGTTTCCTACCTTTATAGTCACTCTTTCCTTACCTTTTCTTCGCTTGCAAACCAGTATTTGTGTTTTACTTTTATTTATTATCATACAGTACTGTTTTGTCAATACCGCTTCCATTTTATTTAAAGCTATCTCTTCTTCTCCTTGCTAGATGCTAATACTATAATAAAACATAAATTTCATTCCGAATTTCCATTTTCACATGTTGTTCCAAGTCTATGTTTCGAAGAACAGGAGTTTGCTTGACATAAGAGAGATTTACTAATAGAAGCACCTGCTTACCCTCTGTAAAACTTACTTTAAGTTTGTCAGCAGAGTAGATAATTAATATTAAATTTAATCTTGCCTACCACAATCTGACGAACTGAACTAATAAAGTAAGTCACTGTATTAATTATTATATTAAGATAATGAACTAAAATGGGACGAGAACCAAGAACCACCATATGGGAAATTAAAACGTAGAAAACCTACTTTAATTAGATATTAATCAGGAAGAATCCAGTGGAGAAACCTCGTTGTAGGGGTAATCACCCATTAACATGAGCCTTGCAAGAAAATTTCTTATATCTTGTCTAAACGTAATTGTTGCTCGACACGCCTCATTTTAATAGTAATATAAGATTATTCAGAGCTTGATAGTCTACTGTAGATACGATTTAACAAGTCCCGACTTAATTTTGTATGTTCGTCTTTATGGAGCAGAAATAATTACTTCGATTTATAATTGGGTCCGGGGCGAAGCAAAGGGATCAGCTCTCCTATTTACCTATGTGCGCACATCTAAAGTTTTATGATGTTTGTAGGTAAAAGATGTAACATGTGCGAATAATTTTGTAACTATTCGATTGGCTTTCCTAGTTCTTCGTCGCTATAAGTTGTGTGTTATTCTTAAAACAAGTTAGATCCTAATAAAAATATAAAAGCTCATAAGAAATATTTTAAAATAATCAGTGACCGTTTAAAATTACGATATAAATCTTATTATAGTTGTTTATGTTTGTGTATGTACCTCGTCGCCCAGTGACTCGATAATCATACAACCGGTAGTAATTCAACGTTGTTACTGATTGTTGCTGTAAATGTAAAAGCATATAAAAAACATAAAAACTCGAGTTACTGGTTATCGCTGCGGGTAATTTTTCTGAAGAATACTTTTAGAAACTCAAATTAAAGAGACAATTAATAATCGAAAACATTATGAAACAAAAAATTTTTCAAATTGAAACAATTTCGAATTACCTACTAAAGTTGGAGTGTAGGTCATCTCAATCCGTACCTAAATATTTTGTGTCCACATTTTATGATACTCTAAAATAGTAGTGGAACTTTTATAACATTATCCATTTTTTAGTTTAGTCCACCATTCCCCAGAAGTAAAATAATTGATTAGTTTATTGATTTATAGATTCTTCCTCCCTATATAAAATCCAGTTTAAGCTAACTAACCTAAAAAACTTGTTTTGTTTCAGGTGAGCACCTAGAAGCCATGCAGTTTAGTGGAAAAATCTCCACATACCCTCCGCTTACATTAACAGCCCTCATTGTACTTTCAACGGTGTATTTTATGTATTGCTAAATACATTTTTTTGTGGAAAATCAGTCTTTTTTCTTGTGTAAAAATGTTTTTACCATGTAGATACCTATTATAGATGTTAATATATACCTATAAGTAACAATGTTTGTCTTTTTGATTAATAAACAGCAGAAGCATCCCAATAGTTAAAAAAAAAATAAGTTAACAATTAATATTATTTAAATAAGAAACTCATTGAAATGTTGACTGCATAAGGTTGATTGCATATAAAAGTAGTAACTGAATTTTGTTCTAGTTTAAGGCCCTATCCTCACGACACTACACGACATCAATGCGATATGCGTACGACAAAGCAAACATTGTTTCTAACACATGTTATTCACGTGTAGCGACACCTAAGGGATATTTATCGCAAACAAAAGTGTAGAAATGACTGGTTAGTGGCATGTGAAAATGGACAAGCTGCGCTGACTAATGGTCACATGACGATCTAGCACCAGGGTGTCAGTTGTGTTTGTTGGCATGACAATTCATGGACAAAATCAATAAATACATAACAAAATTCTAATTTATTTATATTTAACAAACTTTTACCCCCGACTTCGCTCGCGTAGATGTCCTGAATATGTCGAATATACAATAATTTAATAAACAGTCCTGACCAAAATCATCAGGATAAAATTAAAGTTTGTAGATTAAACATACACAGAATCACAGTGACAGTCATTTGTTATCGAGGAAGAAGATTTTTTCTATCCCTCAGGAACGGTTTTTTTTCTGAATACAAGGTACTCTATGTTTTTTCCGTACTCCTCACAATGTGTGTACATAATTTAATGATAGTCGGTTGAGTAGTTAACCATGAAATGGCAATAAACAAATAAACTCACATTGGCATTTATAATATTAATTAGGATAATTTAAATTATTAAAAGAAGTACTATATAAGAACAAAGGCTTTCACGGCCGGAATCCATATATATAAAAGAAGAACTATTGAGTGAAATTTAATAATTAAGAAATAAATTGTGTAATTTTATGAAACCACGATGCAAGTGAAACTTTTTGGATTGTAGGCATTTAACTGTACATTTCCAGAAAATTATTCGATTTAGGGTATTCAAATTAAAATCGCATTCTTAATCTTATCTTAATGATTGGAAAATGGGAATGATAATGGGAAATCAATACTAGACAAGATATCCAACTCACGATTAAAACACACAAATATAGCGAAGCACTTGCACAAATTAGTGAGAATATAAATGCTACACGGTTAGCTCATGCAAGCCATGGGCGGCGCCATATTGGCTTTCACTTTTACTAGGTATTGAATTAATGTTTCTTTTAAAAACAAGGTTATTAAAATTTTAATTTCGTCAAAAGCCGTTTGTTCACTGTTGTTAATGAAAAGGTTATAACTATTGATTAGTACATTTACTGTCATTTTACCATGAAATTACTGAATTACCTTAATAAAAACATTACATTCTTGCTCAGAAATTTATAAAAAGCACCAGACGTAGATCTTGATTTAAAATTTTTTAGTTCTCATCAGCACACCATTAATACTACCAACTTAACCGAGAACACTTTTGTTTTGAAAAACCATAAGCGAATCCGAAATTCCACCGTACAAACAATCTCATTATTTTTAAGTGGCAGTATGTAAATATAATTTGAATAAATTCAAAATCACGATCTGCACCTGATGGTCCCAATAAGCTGCTAACCGAGAAAGTAATCATTTTCATCAGACTGGTTGGAGACGCACACGCATTCAGTAATTAGATCTAGGTCTATTTCGGCCCTCTCTCAATTCCTGTTTCTGCTTCTAATATGTCTGTAACTAATCGTTTAATTCTGACGATGAAAATGTTTCCTACCAACCTATCTCACCTGTTTCTTCTCGAATTCCACGGTCTCCACTGTTGTAATGTTTCTAATACCTCCTGACTATTTATTTAATCGAAGAAATTGTCAGTAATCGTGATCGTCAATAGTGGTAGGACCTTTATACTGACGTTGTGAGAAATTAGTAACTTATTCAGTCAGTGCTTCTAATCTCCCTCTTCTCTAACCAAGAGTTCTTCAATAGAGAATTTCGCCTTGAAAAAACAATAAATGAATAGTACTGTAAACACACCAGTTACACAGGCAATAAAATGCTTAAAACGGCTGTTAGCGGCATAGAACCCACATGAAATACCTTCAACCGAAAGAATAGCTGCACGTTCAGCTGACTTAATCAGAATGCAAACGAGAAGGCTTTTCTACCAAATTTCTGCCGGTTTTTACCTTCAGGCCAATTTGATGCATCAACGTTGCGTAATTTTGTTTATTTTATGTAGTCCAGAAAAAACGAAACCTAAAAGTATTAATAACATATAAAAAGATATAAACTAAATTTAGCGGCTAATTGGGACGGCTCAGTCTTCAATGGGGCAAGCTATCAGACAAGTCGGGGACGTCAAGGGGTGGACAACCAGTTCAGCAACATCGAGGGACGATACAGTTCGCTCCGGGAAATCTGGGATGATACGGAATGGAGAATGAGTGATAGAAACAAAAGACTGGTCAAATACCACAGCCCATTAAGCATATACGAAGAAGCTATCTCAGTCTGTAATACAGAGATAGTCAAATTCTCGGGTGATAAATGCCACAGTCAATCAAGCTAGTCTCTTTCTTGTTTGCCAGAGTAGGTTGAATTTTTGTTTTGTTTAGTTTTTCCTCGAGGAGGGGAAATCTTCAAAAGACACCCCCTGAAGAGTAGTAGTGTCGGATTCGCCGAAGCGCCTACCGATTAAAACCACTCCTCGAGTAGGAAAATCAACCCGGAGGTTATACTTCCCAGGGAAGGTGACTGAGTGCAGGAATGGAAGCATTGGGAGGAAAGGGAACTGAAATGGGAATCGGCGTTGTAGGCAGGGCCTTCTGAAATAGTCGTTTGGTTTAGAGGCCAAATCGGAAAGTGTCGAGATGGACGGGTTTGGTTGACCTGACACTGAGGCCCAAAGATTTGCCGCGAACCTAATTGCGACCCGAGAATTGAAGATTGGTCAGTTTCCTTCAGAATTTTTTGTGTTTCTGATGAATCAAGAGCAGTTGAGTGCGGAATGAAGAATCCACATATAAGTGCCTTGAAGAATTTATAGGCTGTGGAATTTGGCACAGCTCCAAATGAGATTGGCGTTGGAGCAAATTCTTCTGATAATTGTTTGTTTGATGGGAGGTAGAGCTGTTTTGGAAGAATGGCTTGAAGGAGATAAAGGCGGTTAGGGCCTTAGCACAGATGGCAAGGATATGCTTTCGTCATGTCAGTGTTCTGTCGAAAACGACGCCGAGGTAAGTAACGGAGTTGCTCCATTTGATGAGGCATCCGTATTGAACGTCAGGGAGAAGATTGTTTCACCCCACGTGGTCAACAAGTCGGTCCAAGAGGATTGATTCAATTACTTTGCTCACCAAACTGAGCAGGCTAATTGTCCTGTAGTTTTAGGGAGTGCTGAGAGGCAGATCATGGTGGCTTCTTTTCAGGTCAGAGGATGGAGCTGCATGATAGCGTTTGTGATGTTGCAGAACGTGACTATATGTTTTGATGGCACAACTTTAAAGGCACTGTTGGAAATTCTGTTCACGCCAGGGGTGTTTATCTTTTTTAGAGATCGGATAATGAGGAAGATTTCACGGGGGAGACGTTTGTTTAAAGTCGAAAAGACTTAGGACGAAATTTTGAGTGACAGTATTGGTTCGCTCGTGAAAATCGGCAAGATCCACAGGTCCGGGAAGTGGGAGGCACTGGAAACAGAGAGGGTTAGCAAAGATTGCAGCCTTTTCCTCATCTGGGGGGTCTGTTGGGGATCACTTTCCAAGTGCTTTTAGGATGTGTTTCTGCCTGAGCGATGTAATTGTCGAGGGTAGCACTGCGGAATTCGGTTAGGCGAGTTTTAAGTTCTTCTTGGAGAGAGTTTAACTCGACGCTGTGTGCGGCACCACGGTGTTCTTGCCACAGTCGAGTGGGTTTTGTTTTTCCTTTTGACGAGGGCAAGAATGTCTGCGGGTAGAAGTTTCTCTAGAGAGGAGGACGGGCGGGAGGTTGTAGAGAGCTCGATGGCGCTGGGAATCTCGTTTTAAAGGAAATGGACAGCATCGTAGAGTTCCCGGTTATTGTGCGAATTAACTGCACTTGAAAGAGGATGTTTCGAAAGTGTAGAAAAGTTGTAAGGTATGGAGGGTTGAGGGTTGGCCAACCGGCTTCTATTAGTGCTAGAAGGTGGTCGGAGCTTAGAGCGTCGAGAACGGTGGGATCAGCGGAAAAAGTAACATTTTTTAAAACGAAGATGTCAAGAATGTCTGGAATTTGCAGGAAGGTATGTAAGATCCGTGGACGCTTCAACGGCGAGGTTGGGTTCGAAGACTGTGGCAAGAAGCGAAATGCCTTTTCTGTTAGTGTGTTGGCAGCCTCAGGAGGCGTGTTTGGCATCAACGTCGTCTGCGACGATGGCCGAGACGTTTGGCGAAATGAGGAGGGGGAAATCCGAAAGATTTAGTTCAAATGGTGGGGAGTAAAGGGAAATGATTCTGATGTGCCAGAAATATTAGTGAGACTTCAATGCCAATTGCTTCTAATGAATTAGTGTCAAAAAGATGTTTTAAAGAATTCTTGACGCAGATGGGGCACCGCCTCGGAAGTTTGCACTATCCCTTCTATAGAATGTGAAGTTTAGGGCGAAAAGTTTGACTCTGAGTGAGTTTCGGTGATGCAGGCAACACCGAGAAGGAAGTGTTCGACTTAAGTCAATCTACATCTAATGTTTCAAGCGTTCCAGGAAACTACTCATTACTCATTACTACGTATTTAGGTGGGTTACTTTATTCATAGATGGGTGTTTGAAGGGCGGCAACTATGTTGGCTTCCATCGTTTGCACCATGATCTGGAGTTTCTGTTCTATATTTGGGGGAAGCAACTGGCTCTGAAGGGGTCATTGGGGTTGCGTTGGACTTTAGGATGAGAATGGGGGGCTGCTTTCACTGCCGTGATATAAGACTTTTGGGGGGGCGTTGTTATGGGGATGGATAAGAGACGGATGATTGCCTGAACGC